GGAGCTGCTAGAGTTGGTGCTGCTGGAGCTGTTGGAGCTGGAGCTGCTGGGGGTGTTGGCGCTGGTGGTGCTGCTGGCGCTGGTGCTTCTGAGGGTGATGGAGTTGGCGCTGTTGGAGCTGGAGGTGCTGCTGGCGCTGGTGCTGCCGCTGGGGGTACTGGTGCTGTCCCTGCTGGTTCTGGAGGCGCTGCGCGGCAGCGGCCGTACTTCGTTCCGCTCCTTGAGCAGGTTCTTGGTCTCCCGCCCTCTACTGGTCCTGCTCCTCCCTTAGAGTGTCCACAGCCTGTCCAGTCGCGGTCACAGTTACAGCCCGCCTCCCCCCTGCCTGCTCCTTCTCCCTACACTGGTCCTACTAGAGGTCTTGCTGAGCGTCGTGAGCCTGCGTCTCGTCCTGCGTTGCCTGTTCGTGCTGCTCGCACTAGTAGTCGTGCTCCGCGTCTGCGTCCTCCTGCAGTCCCAGGCACACACCAGATGGCACTGCGTCCTTCCACTGCTCCTCTGCGTGTCCCGTTGCCGTCTCCTCCAGAGTCCTCTCTTCCTGCTCTTGCTGACCCGGAGTCTGACTCTCTTCGTGCTGCCAGTCCTACTGTCACGCGTCTCCTGGCTACTGTTGTCACTGACCCTTCCTTTGAGTCCACTGCTGCGTCTGCCTTAGTTGCTGAGCTTGTCGACTTTGCTGCTCGCTGTCGTCTCGACTACGCCGCTAGTCTCGTTGCTGATTCTGAGTCTGTCTGTCCTCCGTCCGTCGGGGGTGAGTGTGCTCTTAGCACGGACGTCCTCGAGGACAGGCAGGAGGAGTTCCAGTGTTTTGCTGCTGCTTTGCCTCATCTCGTGTCCACGCTGATTGCCCCTTAGGGAGACCTGGATGCACCAGACATCCCGACTCCTCGATCGTACGCTGAGGCGATCGAGGGTCCCTACTCCTCACAGTGGCAGTCAGCCATGGACGCAGAGATGGCTTCCTGGAAGTCCACAGGCACCTACGTCGACGAGGTTCCCCCACCTGGGGCGAACATCGTCAGTGGCATGTGGATTTTCAGGGTGAAGCGGCCGCCGGGTTCTCCGCCTGTCTTCAAGGCGCGTTACGTGGCTCGAGGCTTCAGTCAGCGGCAGGGAGTTGATTACTTTCAGACCTTCTCTCCCACCCCGAAGATGACCACTCTTCGGGTGCTGCTGCACATAGCCGCTCAGCGCGACTACGAGCTTCACTCTCTTGACTTCAGCACAGCTTTCCTGCAGGGCAGCCTGCACGAGGAGATCTGGCTGCGCCGCCTACCTGGCTTCACTGGGTCGTTTCCCCCTGGTACCCAGTGGAGCCTCCGGCGGCCAGTCTACGGTCTCCGCCAGGCGCCCCGTGAGTGGCACGACACACTGATGACTACACTTGCGGCTCTTGGGTTTGCTCCTTCTACTGCCGACCCGTCGCTGTTTCTGCGCACCGACACCTCTTTGCCGCCGTTCTACATCCTCGTGTACGTCAACGACTTGGTCTTTGCCACTGCTGACACTGCTGGACTAGCCCACGTGAAGTCCGAGCTGCAGAAGAGACACACGTGCACAGACCTGGGTGAACTGCGCAGCTACCTTGGCTTGCAGATCACCCGGGACAGAGCACAGCGCACCATTACCCTGACTCAGTCACACATGGTGCAGCAGGTCCTTCAGCGCTTCGACTTCACGTACTCCTCGCCTCAGGCCACTCCTCTGTCTACTCGCCACTCGCTCTCAGCTCTGCCTTCGGATGAGTCCGTAGAGCCGAGTGGCCCGTACCCAGAGCTTGTTGGCTGCCTCATGTACCTGATGACCTGCACACGACCTGACCTTGCATACCCTCTTAGCATCTTGGCACGCTATGTTGCTCCTGGGAGACACCGACCAGAGCACATGGCCGCAGCGAAGAGGGTGTTGCGCTACTTGTGCAGTACGTCGGGCATGGGGCTAGTGCTTGGATGGCGACGTCCAGTGGTCCTCATAGGTCACGCAGACGCTTCTTGGGCTGACGACCAGGCTACTCAGCGGTCGTCACAGGGTTACACCTTCAGCCTTGGTTCCGGCTCTGTTTCGTGGCGGTCTACCCGCTCGTCTTCTGTTCTCGGCTCCAGCTGTGAGGCTGAGATCTACGTGGGGGCCATGGCTGTACAGGAGCTACGCTGGCTCACCTACCTGCTGACTGACCTAGGAGAGCCGCCTCGTTCTCCTCCAGTTCTGTACGTAGACAACAAGGCCATGCTGGCCTTGTGTCGGGAGCACAGGCTGGAGCACAGAACGAAGCACATTGCTCTTCGCTACTTCCTTGCTCGTGAGCTGCAGCAGCGTGGTCAGCTACGCCTTGCTTACGTGGCCTCTGAGGCCAACACTGCTGATATCTTTACCAAGGCACTTCCGCCTTGTGATCATCAGCGCTTCTGTACGATGCTAGGTCTTGTGCCTACTTGGCCTCACTTGCTCACTTCTTGACCTTGCTTGTACTGTGATCTTTCTATACCTGCACTTGCTTGTTTACCTTTATATATGATCTTGCATGTGAACTGGCCTTGTGGCCTTGAACTTGTGCTCGGAATGTGTGGTGACGTTGTGATCCACCCTGAGCTTGCTTTGCTTTGCTTGACTGGTCTTGTGACCCCTTGTTCTCCCCCACTTTGCCTATGGGGGTGTGTCAAACTCATATGCTATAGTCTGTGTAGGCTGTAGTGGGGTAGACAATATGGGGTACAACACTTTTAGGTTTTCCTACTTGTACACACCTGCTTGCTAGTTCATTCATTCCTCGTTCTTTCACAGGACTGTGAGCGGTGTGACTGTGGTGCTGTCACGGAAGAAGCAATAAGACGCGCCTGAGTCGAGAGTAGAAGTGTGCAAGGCCTCCTCAGGCTCTGCACCTGTGCTAGCTGAGTCAAAAGCACCAAGACTAGCAGCCTCTATGCCACCAGGTGCCTCTCCACCCCCAGCACTAGTACCCCAAGCTCCGCCATTGGGGCTGCCCCACTGGACAGCCCACTCACAAAGCTGCTGCAGGGAGAGAGTCTCCGGCGGACGCTGCTGCCGCTGCTGTCCACCCCCAAAACCTCCGCGTCTACCAGCGGCACTACCAGCAGGAGTAGACTTACAGGGACCTCAAGTAGTAGCACACCAGGCTCCGCCACCGGGGCTGCCCCACCGGACAGCCCTCATGCGAAGCTGCTGCGACGAGAGCGGCTCCCGCCGACGAGTACGAGGACCGCCAGCACCAGCACGTCCAGCCCTAGCACGGCTAGTTCCGCCACCTGGGCTGCCCCATCAGATAGCCCACTTGCGAAGCTGCTGCGGCGAGAAAGACTCCTGCACACTCGGCTGCCGCTGACGTAGGACAGTGGTAGTGGCCGTGTCAGGAAGTGGCAGCTATTAGCAGCAGCTGCGTAGCAGTAGTAGCACAGGCGGCAGTAGCAGCGTAGCAGCACTAGGGGCAAGGCGGCACTAGCGTGGGGTAGGGCAGCGCGGGGCAGTGCACTCGGGTGGCAGCAGCATCTAGGGCGGCAGTAGCAGGCAGCACCTAGGGCGGAAGCAGCAGGTGGCAGCACCTAGGGCAGTAGCAGGCAGTAGCTCCAAGGGCAGCAGCACCTAGGGCTTAGTTGTTTTTTTTTTTTTGGGTTGCGAAGCAACCTATTACAATCGACCGTATGAAATTTAGTTTTTAGCATTAAAAAAATATTTTTTATAACAATAATTTAACATGGTTCTTATCTTGAAAATTACATAAATACTTGACTATTAGGATTCATGGTAACAAATGGAACAAAAATGGAACTACTCTTTTGTATTGTGTATTGTAGTATTTGCATTACTCTCATGACACATGTATCCATTTTGTTCATGCTATCTTTCATGCTCTTTGTACTTATGCGTGTATATACCATGTCGTACTGTGTATACCATGTACATTTGAGAAATAAATGAATGTTTCCATTGTGATATGCATAGTAGATGATATGCATTTACATGCATAATATAATGCATATATTTCATTATGGAAATGAGTGATGTGGAATGAACGAAAAAACTAGTCTATCGCATCCCCTGCTCTAGCATGGGGGGGAAGTCGATAGGCTAGCTTTCAATCATTCAATGATCACATGGAATAACACAATCTGTGTATCCCAAAAACAAGGTCAAAACTATCAAATCCAGTTCAAGTGAACACACTCACTGAGTGCGCAAAGAACCTTATGGGAAATGATAATCTGAGCCTCATTTTTAAAACACACAGATGTGTGTTATTAGTGTAGTGGAAACGTGGATGCAATCAGCATTCCCACAACACACAAACATAACGGGGTGCAAGTTAAATAACTATGTAAGAGAAAAGCATTACCGACTAGAGCACCTCGACTCTTTCACCTCACGTTCTCGCGCTCCAATGAATCCAACCAACCCTGCTATTACCAAGTCGAAAGTTCAAGAAAAAAACAAACATCGAACGCAACAAATTTATAAGGGTACCTCGACTCCCTCACCTCACATTCTCGCGCTCCAATAAATCTGACCAACCTTGCTATTACCAAGCCGAAATTTCAGGGGAAAAAAACAAGAATCGAACGCCACAAATTCATAAGGGTATCTTCTGTTCATCCAAAAGCTTGTGCAATGGCTTCAAAAAACTCTTCCGGACCTTCACCATTGCTGCACACACAACAGAAGAATAGCGAGAGGGAGAGAGAGAGAGAGAGAGAGAGAGAGAGAGAGAGAGAGAGAGAGAGAGAGAGAGAGAGAGAGAGAGAGAGAGAGAGAGGGCTAGCCTCTACCCTCTGCCCTTAGCCTCTGCCCTTGGGTTCGTAGCTACTTAAGTGGCTGTTCTAGCCTCCCTGGCTCATTATTCATTTGGCCGCTGCAAATTTTCGCTCGCGCGTGAGGGGACGGCAAGATACAGCACACAGAGGGGTTCATAAGCAAAGACATTACAAGCATGGAATCGCCTACTGTAGCCTAGCCTAGCGAAACAAACATGGAGCAGGAGGAGCCCGCGTCTACATGCGGTGAGCTCCAAGGGCGTGGAGAACGCCCGTCAGAGTCCGCCAAAGCTCCCGGACAACAAGCGTGCTTGCGCCGATCGCGGCGGCTCCAGAACCTGCACGTAAATGGCGCCGCAAGCCGCGGACAGCTTCATCAAGCTGCCCCGCCGCCGCAACGCCTCCCTCGGCGGGCGCAGCCTGCACGGGCGCCAGCAGCACTGCAAGCTGATCGGCTGCGTCCAGGCAAGACTCGCGATGTCGATCCAGGAACGACTCTGGGGGGGCCGCAGGGAGAGACGAATGAGCAAGGACCTGTATCAGGAGCAGTGCGTGAAAGCTCTCCGCGAGGCGGAAGAGCTGGCCGAGAGTCGCCTCTGGAACATGGGCCCGAGGGGGTTGCAGCGCGTGGGCAAGGAACTGGAATGGCTCCTCTACGGCAAGAGGAGCCGGGCCACCCGCCCTCACCGCTCCGCCTCCCCCAGCCACAAATTCTACTCCTGCCACGGGCGGGACGGGCGGCAGCTGCAACCGTGACCCAGGAACAGGAGTGGATGCAGCAACAGCGGGAGGCAATGGGGCCGGAACATGAGATTGGACTGGTGCAGCAGGGAGCGGAATCTCAGGAAGCGCCGCCTGACGCCGAGCAGGATAGGCAGCGGCAACGTGTGAGCTGTCTTGGGTCTGAGCGGCCCTCTCCTCACGCATCGCGGTCGTTACCGCTCTTTGCAGATCTGCCATCCTCACGGGCGGATCATACGCTCCTCCGCCACCGCGACTGCGAGGACCCCACCAGCCACCGCGACCGCCACGGTGCGCTTGCCACTGACCCGACTGCTGATGGCGCCGGAGAGAATTGCGCCGGCGCCGGGAGGACTCCCGATCTTGATGGGGCGCTGGAGAATGGGGGCGAGATAGGCGACGGTCCGGCGAGGGGGGACGAGACTGCGGCGCCGGCTGCGCCTGCTGAGCCACGGGCGGCGCAACAGGGGCAGCCGGGTCCACTGCAGGGGGCACAATCAATTGTGCCGGGCCGCCAGTGGTGGCGGACGCCGCCTGCGGGGACGAGGCAGGCGCAAAAGTCTGCGGCTCGAGGCCGGCAGCAGGTGGCCCAACGGGAGCGGGAGCCGGGAGTGCGGCGTCAGACTTTGTCAGGGCTTCAAGGGGAGCTTGGGGAGCAGTTGGCGCAGTCGGGGCGGGCTGCTCAGCAGCAGCAGGGGCCGCACACTGAGCAGCAGCCGCAGCAAGGGGAGCCAGGGGTTCGGGGCGAGGAGGCTTTTCAGCGGATGTTGTCGAGGGCTTCGGAGCCGGAGGCACGGGGGGCTTCGTTGCCGTGGTCGCCTTTCCGGGCTCAGACTGAGGCTTGGCGACCACTGCCGACCAGGCGGCAACGCGCTCTGGCGACGGCTCGGGAGCTCCACCAATCACCATCGCGAGGTCGAGAAGCACGGGAAGAGAGGAGGCAGGCGGTTAGCGGAACAGGCGGAGGGCCGGAGAACGGGTATCAGGCTGCGGGACGTCGGGCTTTAATAGCTCTAGTAGCTGCCAATGAAGATGGGGAGAGAAATGACCCCTCTTATATTGCGGAAGTGGAGCCACAGAGTGAAAATGATGATGAAGGGGATGGAGCAGAGGCAACGAGAGTAAGGGCGGAGACGAGAAGACCTGGTGCAGCCAATTTACCCACAGCGGAAACAGAGGGGCGTACAGGGCCATTGGATGCTGATCGAACGGATGGGAATCCAACTCGGCAGCAATCAACGAGATCGAGCCGTGCTCGAAAACATCGAACCGCTTCACTCCACCCTGTGTCAGTGTCAAACTCATATGCTATAGTCTGTGTAGGCTGTAGTGGGGTAGACAATATGGGGTACAACACTTTTCGGTTTTCCTACTTGTACCCACCTGCTTGCTAGTTCATTCATCCTCGTTCTCTCACATGGTATAGAGCAGGTTCCCTAGTGGGAACGTTTCCTAGGGCCCACCGAATATCAATTTTTTTTTTCCTGCCCGGAGCGCGCTTCGCCCCTGCCCTTAGTGGCCCGTCGCGCTCCCCTACGGCCCCGTAGCGGCCCCTCTCACGGCCTCTCACGGCCCCTCTCACGGCCCTTCGCGGCCCCTTCAGGCCCCTCGTGGCCCCTTCGCGGCCTCCCTTCGCGGCCCCTTCGTGGCACCTTCGTGGCCCCTTCACGGCCCCTCTCACGGCCCTTCGCGGCCCCTTCAGGCCCCTCGTGGCCCCTTCGCGGCCTCCCTTCGCGGCCCCTTCGTGGCACCTTCGTGGCCCCTTCACGGCCCCTACGCGACCCCTTCATGGCCCCTTCACGGCCCCTTCGCGGCCCCTTCGCGGCCCCTTCACGGCCCCTTCACGGCCCCCTCGCGGCCCCCCTCGCGGCTCCCTTCGCGGCCCCTTCGCGGCCCCGCCCCGCTGCCCGTAGCGACCCCGCCCCGTCGCCCTTCGCGGCCCCTTCGCGGCCCCGCCCCGCTGCCCGTAGCGACCCCGCCCCGTCGCCCTTCGCGGCCCCGCCACGTCGCCCCCGCCTCGTCGCGTCGCCCCTGCGGGACCCGCGAGGCGCGGCTCCTGTGCGTCGCGACGCCCCTGCGGGACCCGCATGGCGTCACCGCTGCCCGCCGCGACGCCCGGCCCTAACCCGCGCCCTGAAGCAGCCGCCACTGCAGCAGCCGCCCCTGGAGCAGCCGCCACTGCAGCAGCCGCCCCTGGAGCAGCCTCCCCTGCAGCAGCCGCCCCTGGAGCAGCCGCCACTGCAGCAGCCGCCCCTGGAGCAGCCGCCACTGCAGCAGCCGCCCTTGGAGCAGCCGCCACTGCAGCAGCCGCCCCTGGAGCAGCCGCCCCTGCAGCAGCCGCCCCTGGAGCAGCCACCCCTGCAGCAGCCGCCCCTGGAGCAGCCTCCCCTGCAGCAGCCGCCCCTGGAGCAGCCGCCCCTGAAGCAGCCGCCCCAGGAGCAGCCGCCACTGCAGCAGCCGCTCCTGGAGCAGCCGCCACTGCAGCAGCCGCCCCTGGAGCAGCCGCCCCTGCAGCAGCCGCCCCTGGAGCAGCCACCACTGCAGCAGCCGCCCCTGGAGCAGCCTTCGCTGCAGCAGCCGCCCCTGGAGCAGCCGCCACTGCAGCAGCCGCCCCTGGAGCAGCCTCCCCTGCAGCAGCCGCCCCTGGAGCAGCCGCCCCTGAAGCAGCCGCCCCAGGAGCAGCCGCCACTGCAGCAGCCGCCCCTGGAGCAGCCGCCACTGCAGCAGCCGCCCCTGGAGCAGCCGCCCCTGCAGCAGCCGCTCCTGGAGCAGCCACCACTGCAGGAGCCGCCCCTGGAGCAGCCTTCCCTGCAGCAGCCGCCCCTGGAGCAGCCGCCACTGCAGCAGCCGCCCCTGGAGCAGCCTCCCCTGCAGCAGCCGCCCCTGGAGCAGCCGCCCCTGAAGCAGCCGCCCCAGGAGCAGCCGCCACTGCAGCAACCGCCCCTGGAGCAGCCGCCACTGCAGCAGCCGCCCCTGGAGCAGCCGCCCCTGCAGCAGCCGCCCCTGGAGCAGCCGCCACTGCAGCAGCCGCCCCTGGAGCAGCCGCCCCTGCAGCAGCCGCCCCTGGAGCAGCCACCACTGCAGCAGCCGCCCCTGGAGCAGCCTTCCCTGCAGCAGCCGCCCCTGGAGCAGCCGCCACTGCAGCAGCCGCCCCTGGAGCAGCCTCCCCTGCAGCAGCCGCCCCTGGAGCAGCCGCCCCTGAAGCAGCCGCCCCAGGAGCAGCCGCCACTGCAGCAGCCGCCCCTGGAGCAGCCGCCACTGCAGCAGCCGCCCCTGGAGCAGCCGCCCCTGCAGCAGCCGCCCCTGGAGCAGCCACCACTGCAGGAGCCGCCCCTGGAGCAGCCTTCCCTGCAGCAGCCGCCCCTGGAGCAGCCGCCACTGCAGCAGCCGCCCCTGGAGCAGCCTCCCCTGCAGCAGCCGCCCCTGGAGCAGCCGCCCCTGAAGCAGCCGCCCCAGGAGCAGCCGCCACTGCAGCAACCGCCCCTGGAGCAGCCACCCCTGCAGTAGCCGCCCCTGGAGCAGCCGCCCCTGCAGCAGCCGCCCCTGGAGCAGCCGCCCCTGCAGCAGCCGCCCCTGGAGCAGCCACCCCTGGAGCAGCCGCCCCTCGAGCAGCCGCCCCTACAGCAGCGCCCCTGGAGCAGCTGCCACTGCAGCAGCCGACCCTGGAGCAGCCACCCCTGCAGCAGCCGCCCCTGGAGCAGCCGCCCCTGCAGCAGCCGCCACTGCAGCAGCCGCCCCTGGAGCAGCCGCCCCTGCAGCAGCCGCCCCTGGAGCAGCCACCCCTGCAGCAGCCGCCCCTGGAGCAGCCTCCCCTGCAGCAGCCGCCCCTGGAGCAGCCGCCCCTGAAGCAGCCGCCCCAGGAGCAGCCGCCACTGCAGCAGCCGCCCCTGGAGCAGCCGCCACTGCAGCAGCCGCCCCTGGAGCAGCCGCCCCTGCAGCAGCCGCCCCTGGAGCAGCCACCACTGCAGCAGCCGCCCCTGGAGCAGCCTTCCCTGCAGCAGCCGCCCCTGGAGCAGCCGCCCCTGCAGCAGCCGCCCCTGGAGCAGCTGCCCCTACAACTGCCGCCACTGGAGGAGCTGCCCCTGCAGCTGCCGCGGAGCCCTCGCCCTACAGTTGTAGCGGCCTCGCCGTTGCCGCCGTCGTACGCCTGCCCTTCTCGCCACTGGTGAGCACTGCCCTGCCCGTACTGCTGTTACTGCTGCTCTTGCTGCTACTGCTCTTTCTACTGCTACTGCTGCTCCTGGCTTGGCCAGATGCAGCTCCAGCGACGTCTGCGTGAGTCCCTCACGCCCCAGCAGCTTCGTGAGTGGTACGCTACTTGGGGTTGTCGGGGTGGCCGTAGTGGGAGTCGTCCTGGAGTGAGTAGTTCGGCAGCTGCCTGTAGTGGCCAGGTGCAGCTGCAGCGTCGTCCGTGCGCGGTCCTTTCGCCCCAGCAGCTTCGTGAGTGGTACGCTCAGCGTGACGGGTCACGGGGTACTGCTCGCTGTCCGTACGTCATTCGCACTGGTGCTCGGACTGGTCAGCCTTGCGGGACGTTTGGTCACGCAGAGTCCCGCTGCTTCGCCCGTCTGAGCGACGCCTGGCGTACGGAGTTTGGCGACGCGGCTGAGCTCCCCGACTGGGTGGAGCTGCTTAGGCTGCGGGTAGATATCTATACTCTTGACTATGATGCTATCCTCACTGCCATGTATGCATTGCCTACTAGTGATGAGGGTGACTGTTACCTGTGTGTTCCGCCTGACCCGGGCATTGAGGCTGCTGCTCTAGGTGCTGGTGAGGCAGCTGCTCTAGGTGCTAGTGCGTCTGCTGCCCCAGGTGCTGGTGAGTCTGCTCTCTCAGGTACCACGTCGGCTCAGGGCTTACACACCTTCACCCTTGACTCGGGTGCTTTCCGCTCCTTCTTTCGAGACCGCACCACGCTTCGCTTAGTCGGCCGGTTGCGGTCTCCCTGGCGGACCCCTCTGGGGGTCCTGTCCTTGCTCGCTTCTCCACTGTCTTACCGTGTCCGGCAACCCCCTCTGGCACCCTGTCAGGTCTCTACCTCCCCTCGTTCTCTACGAACTTGGTGAGTGGTGCTGATCTACAGGATCGGGGGGTTGACCAGTTCACTCCTGCGAGTCAGCGGGTGACCCACTGTACGTTTGCTTGGACGGGCCGACACTTGGCCACGTTTACCCGTCGGCCGGGGTCGAGCCTGTACACACTGACTACTGAGTCTCCTCCGGTTACTGAGTCTGGTCAGGTAGTTGCGTCGAGTCAGGTGTTTGCTGCAGCGTCCAGGTCTGGTCCTGAGTCTGCTCCCTGCTCGTGTCGTCTCCTGTCCCACCAGACTCTCCTCTGGCACCACCGCCTTGGTCACCCCTCCCTGCCTCGTCTCCAAGGCATGGCCTCCCGTGTCCTTGTCTCTGGTCTCCCCCGGTCCCTCCCTCCCCTCCCTCCGGGGCCTGCCCCTACCTGCGTTCCCTGCGTCGAGGGGCGGCAGCGCGCCGCCCCTCACTCCTCCGAGTTTCCTCCGACAGAGGCTCCGCTGCAGACTCTTCACATGGACGTGTGGGGCCCCGCCCGCGTCCGTGGCCAGGGTCACGAGCGTTACTTCCTGTTGGTGGTTGACGACTACTCGCGTTACACCACGGTGTTCCCCTTGCGCAGCAAGGGTGACGTCACTGAGGTGTTGATCGACTGGATCCGCGCAGCTCGTCTCCAGCTCAGAGAGAGTTTCGGCTCGGACTTTCCTGTTCTGCGTCTGCACTCTGACAGAGGCGGGGAGTTTTCCTCTGCTCGTCTGGGAGCCTTCTGTCGTGCACAGGGCATCCGCCAGACCTTCACGCTTCCGGCCTCTCCACAGCAAAATGGGATTGCTGAGCGCCGCATTGGCATGGTCATGGACGTCGCTCGTACGTCCATGATCC